ATTTTTCAAGTCGAAGCTCAATTCTGGGGCCCAACCGAAAGACGGTTACGACACCGAGTTCTCCTTGTCGGTGCCCCCTTGGGCTTGCCAGACCCTTAGTCCTAAGCCCATTACAAGCTCATGTGGACTAAGTTAAACTCGAGAGGCGTCGCTTTCACCCACACTTAAACTGGGTTCGAAGCTCGGGTATATAGCCTGAGATGAAAATTTTGAAAATTTTGAAATCATTGAAAAAAAACGTCAGTACAACTATTTATTTGAAAAATGATCAAAAGTAAATAATTGGAATCGAATAAATAAATTTAAATTTAAATTTACCATTTTCGCTTAAAAAGATAACCGACAATTAATTTCCGCCTGACTCACTTACCTGATCCCCAGTGGAGTCACTAAGCTGTCGCGGCCGTCTTTTGGGTGGGCCCGAAAATTGGGCTTTGACTTGTAAAATGTGTTAGAGTCGCCCTTTCAGGTGGGTCGGGCACCATCTTACCTGATCTGCGTTGTACCAGAAACGTGTCGGGTTCAGGAGTCGGTTACGGTCAAGGAAGGATTAGCACCCTTGAAACGCCCTTTCGGTACCAATTAATTTATCGGTTGTCTTTAATTGCAAAAATTAAGAATTTAAATTAAAATTTTAAACATTCTATTCGAATTAATTACATTTGATAGATTGGAATTCTTCTATAAAAAAAAGTCAAAATGTTAATAAAAAACATAAAAAAATAAATAAAGAATAAAATAAATAAATGATATTAAGAGAATATATATATATATATATATATATAAATATAAAACAAAAAATCAAAAAAATTAATAAATTAATAATCGAAAAATAAGAAAAATGAAAGAAAGAAATGTCAAAGGAAAGAAAAATAAATAAAAATAGAATAAATAAAAATAAAAAATATATATCAAAGAAAACAAAAAAAAAGAAAAATATAAAAAATATAATTAAAAAAAACGTAACAACTTAAAGGATCAAATTGAGATCAATTGAAATTAATGGCTTAAATCGAATTAAGAAATGAACTGCAAAAGTAAAATAAAAGTTAGGGCCAATTCACAAAATATAAAAATAAACATGACTAGATTGATTAAATTGGAAATCTTGAGGCAAATTTGCTAATGGTAACAAAATTGAATTGTGATTCAAACTTACAGGGACGATGGAAAGGATTTAAAAATCCTTTATTTGCACATTAGTCCTCGATATAAACCCAAAAATATCACTCTCAACTCATTTTCACCATTCATTCTAAAACTTCCTCCCCCCACATGAGAGAATCTCTCAACTAGCCCATCCTCTTGTCAAACGTTGGCCACCTCCCGGTGGCCACTCCTCCGTGCCGGCCACCGTTGACGGTGGCCGAAAAAAATCACTTAGCCCGAAACACTCCCCTCGAGCTCGTAAACCCAAAACTAAACCCCAAATCAGCTAAAGAAACTCCAAACATATTAGATCTACCCTTAAAGCTTCGACCTTTACCCCTTTTGTTGGTGACGTTTGGTTTCCCAGTGGGTTCTCACGGCGCGAGGCTTATGGCTTCGTACGTTGCCTTTGGCCTTTTTGTGTTTTTACTTGTGTGTGTCGTGTATATGGTTTTTTGTGTTGGCTCTTGGGTTTCGGCTCGGTTGAGGTTTTCGGCTTCTCGTGCTCCTGTTTACTGTGTTGTTCTCCGCCTATTGTGTGCGAAGTTGGCTGATTTTTGTGTACTGTTGGTGTTGGCTTGTTGTCATTGATACTCTATTGTGGTCTGGTGATGTTTTATCATTCCTTTTATAGCCTTCGAATCAGCTGTTTTTAGACTCCGATGTTCTCGGGGTTACCCCGATTTGCTCACATTGAGGTCGTCGTTGGGCTGGAAATCCCGGGGTAGTTCAGTCCTGGGATCTCGACCAGTCGTTTCGAGGACTGATTCTGTTGGTTGTTGGTGCGTGATTCTCACGTGCCCCTTGAAAACCTTCTTTACAGCGCCAGTGCTAATGTGAAACCCTAAATTGTTTGGATTTCGATTATGGGCTGGGTCAGGCCCAACTATCTCCAAACCGGGACTTATTGGACTCAAATGTACCTAGACAATAAAATGAAAATAAAATTAATAAAGATAAAAATAATAAAATAAATAACAACGATAATAATATATTATATTATTATTATATATAAATATTTTCCAAAACCTATAATTTATATTTTCAAAAGTATTTTAAATTTATATATTATGTATTTTTATAAAAAATGTTTTCAAAATTATATAGTTTTCAAAAATGTTTTTAAAACTATATATTATATATGCTTTCAAAATGATTTCTAAACTATATAATATATATATGTTTTCAAAATGTTTTTAAAAACTATATATATTTCAAATGTTTTAAAAACTATATATATAATGTTTTTCAAACATGTTTTCAAATTATATATTATATATATATATATTAAAAATTTTTTCAAACTATATATGTATATACATATATATATATATGTGTATATATAAAATAAAATAAAATAAAAATTGGACGAAAATGTGTGTTTACACCCATTACATATATAAAGTAAAAAATAAAATCACTGATTTGATTCTTGCTTGTTGTTGTGGCTCTATTGGCTGAGATGTGATTCGGTGGCACAATGAAGGTGGCGTGGAGCGTTACTGTAGAAGAAATTAGTGGTGACGTGGAGTGCTGGCAGTGGACAACAAGAACGACGACAAGGGATTAGTGCGAGCGGCGATGGCTGCAGATGATTGAAACACTAGGTTTTCAAACCCTAGTTAGGCTTGGGGTCTGTTGGGCCGATTGGGTGACTTGGTAGCTGGGCCCGGTTGCTTCTGGGCCTTGGGTGAATGGTTCTTATATCCTTTTTTCGTCCCTATTGGCTGAGATGTGATTCGGTGGCACAATGAAGGTGGCGTGGAGCGTTACTGTAGAAGAAATTAGTGGTGACGTGGAGTGCTGGCAGTGGACAACAAGAACGACGACAAGGGATTAGTGCGAGCGGCGATGGCTGCAGATGATTGAAACACTAGGGTTTCAAACCCTAGTTAGGCTTGGGGTCTGTTGGGCCGATTGGGTGACTTGGTAGCTGGGCCCGGGTTGCTTCTGGGCCTTGGGTGTAATGGGTTCTGTTATATATCCTTTTTTCGTCCAATTGGGCCTGTTGTAATTTGGGACCCGATTTTGGGCTGGTTGTATTGGCCTGCACAATAAATAAATAAATAAATAAATAAATAAATAAATAATAATAATAATAATAATAATAATAACATAATAATAATAATAATAATAATAATAATAGTGATGGGACGAAAATGAGTGTCGACAGAATTCTTTCACATTAGTGGGAGAATATTGGTACTGGTCAAGGGTGTAAGAGCATGTAAGTCCCACATTGGGAAGGAAAGCCTTTCGGAAGGGTATTTATCCTTTACTTGTTGAGTGATAGATGACAAGACCCTTGCACAAGTGCACCACTATTAACGTTGTCCGTCCGGCCGAATTAACTCGGCTCATGCTCTTGCTCGTGATAATACATGTCTTCGATATATATCTGCGTGCGTTTTTTCTTTTTAGAGAAAATCTAGATGATTTTCTTTAGAATTGTTTTTTTGGAAAATTAGAATAAAACCTTTGAATGGTATTTATAGGCTAATTAATTTTTCAAATGGTTCTAATACAGATAATTTTCCGCTGTGAATTCTCTGCATTTATTTGCTGCAACATAATAGTTGTTGCAGCTTTGTAGCTGTTTATTTCTGAAGGTTGACTGATGGTATTCTACAGATTGTATCTAGACATTTCTAGGGATTGTTTATAGAAATAAACAACAGCTTAAAACCTAGAATTATATCTGAGATTATGCATGACTTAATTACAACCGTTGTCCTACTGTTATAACAGCTATATTTTGGAAAGAATCTGGATAAGTTTCAGGCCAGGCTTAGCCAGCTATAGTAATTTATCAGTTGTTATTTCGGAAATTAAAATAAGTATTTATAATGTTTTTTATGGATGATTTTAACCTGATGTCAAGCCTATAAATAGTAGATCATTCTCAGCGTTAAATCCATCCAAGTATTCTTCTTTTCTTATATTTCCTCTCTTTCCTCTAAACAAAGTCTTCCAAATACATTTCGTTGTTTTTCGATGCTAAGAGAAGGGCAGTACCAATGATAGTCCACTCTGGTCTTCGATATACGAATTCGTGGAGAGATCATGTTAATTTCGGGAAACAACTGCCTATTGCAGTAATTTTACACATCGAGATAAATTCTTTTCTAAGACATTGATTAATACCACAACACAATTATTTATTCTAATATTTATTTATTTTTATAAATTTCCTATCAATGCTAATGATTTTTATTTTGAAGTTTCTATTTTACCATCACTTATTACCATAAATCTTCAACCCATTCAGACTTTCAATCACTCTGGACGCATCCGACCTGTTACTAACTCGTACAAAAGCAAATCTTGTCTCACCTCTATTTCGTTTGCTTGCGATAAAACACATTACTAACTTCTCCATGTCTTTCGAATATCTTACATAACCTCTTCTATCGGTAAGTTATCCACGAATAGAGATATCACTGATCGCCGTCCTATATCTTTAGCTTCGGTGGGCTGCATGGTCTCAATATCTCCACTCCACTCAACCAGTTAATTCTTTCAACCTTCATCTCACATTGTCCATCAACATTACCAAATAAATTAAAACACCAAATTTGATTTTTTTTCTTTCTATTTAGTTAAACTGTTGTCTACGTCATCTTCGTGATGGAAAATGGAGTCCACGTCAACAGACCGTTTATCGCTTAACAATTTAATAGTATAATCGAATATAAAATTAAAGTTTAGTGATAAATTTGATATGAAGACTAAAATTACTAGTATCTAAAGTTAGTTACCCAAATAATAGAAAACAGAAAAAACATGTTTGGATCCAAAAACCAACATTAATCTCATTGATAACGTAATAAATAGCAAAACATAGGTTGTTTAGAAATAGCTCAAATCCATAATCAATTGTAGTACGAAACATTATTTTTTCGGATTACATAAAATTTAAACAAATAAATAGCAGTTTATGTAGCGGTGTCGGCTGGAGGTGCTAAGCCTTCTGGTGGCCCTGGGCCAGGAGCAGGGGCATGCCCAGCACCAGAGTCAGCGGTTACTTCATCGGATGGTCCTTCGGCCACCGGTTCCTCGGTTGGGTCCTCATTTGGGACCTCGATACCAATGGAAGAATCGGGGGCATTGGAAGGGGTGCCGGCAGGGGACGAAGATGGGGACAAGGAAGGTGAAGAAGCCGGGGAGTTTGCATCAGCAGCGAATGCTCCGACAACAGCCATGAAAATAAGGGCAACCACAATAACTTGGCGAGCCATTTTGATGGTGTTTTGTCTGCTTTTGCTTTATTTAATTTTGATTCAAGAGAATCGCAGCAGATTCTCTAGAGATATAATAGAGAAAAGAACTGCAATGCTGATGAATGATTTGAAAGAAGCATCAAGCGTAGGGTTAAATAGATAGGTGAACAAGAGAAATTTATGGGAAATCAACCATTTGGTTTACCTAGTTTTCAGTTTTATTTGGGGAACAAACAAAAACGTTGAACACCTCACTATTTCAAGAAATCATGTTTCCCTTTTTCGTTTACATTTTAATTTTTTAAATTAAACATGTTTAAATGAAGAATAAAATATACAAATGGTTCTCCGACCATATAATGTTATTTTGTTAAGTCATATGACTATTGAAAGTTACAAAATAAGTCTCTGATTCTAAGACGTTGCTTTGTTAAGTCCTCAAACTATTTAAACTTACAAAATAGTCACCTGACTATTCATATGTTTCAAACTCGTCATTGTTCATTAAAAAATCGACAGTCGTCTAAGTTGGATGTTAATATGTTTACTAAGATAAGATAAAATTATATTTTAATAATTTCTATTGGCACCGTCGTTTCTTTCAAGCACTGGCTCGATGACATAATGTAAACGAAAATTCGATCCACAAAATACAACTCAAACAGTTATGGGATCAGATTTTATCATATCATAGTTAGCAGGTTAATGTCCAGCTTAGACGACCGCCAATTTTTTAACAGAAAATGACGAGTTTAGAACATATGAATAATCGAATGATCATTTTATAACTTTTAATATTCGGGAGACTATACAAAGCAACTCTTTATAATAAGAGGACCATTTGTGCACTTTACCCTTTATGAAAATACGTGATACATTGCATTCATTTTGAGCCATGTTTTTTACGTCATTTTATTGAAATCTTAACATAAAATCATTTTAATCCCAATACTTAATTCAGCTCTAAGTTTTCTGCAAAACGCTAGTCACCTACGCTACTCCTATAGCTTTTAGAGGCAAGTTTTAATTTTTCAAAATTTTAATTTGTTGCTAGATTATTAATTATTTTAATTTTTTGAATAATGCAGTGATTATAAGGTAGTATATATTTAGAATTTTTTTAACTAATTGACAATGCACACACCTTGCAGATGTAGTTGCTCGAACTCAAAATCTCTAGAGAGAACAACACCTAAAAGGTCTATGAAGCTTATTATAATCGATTGCACATAAGTACTCGAGAATTCTATTTTTTAGATCGATATATATGCACTACCTCTGCTAAAAGAGTCTATGAAACTTGAACAAATGGAAGATTTAAGAAAACCAAAATAGAAACACTCTAAAAGGTCTAGCAATTGAATATGCTAGTTGCATCATTTTGTTTGCAACCTATTTGAAGGTTTGGTCGAGATAAAGGGCATGTCACAATGAATGACATCTTAATGATTATGAAACCTTAAGCAAACCCAAAACTTACTCATCGATCTCGATATTTGTCAAAGGACTATAATTTTTGAAAACGAAAAAGTGATTTATTTTTTTGATATTCATTGAATCGATTATTTTGTTTTAATTGTGAGTCTAAAATAAGGGGAACCATTTTCTTAAATCTCTTTAGTTTTTTTGAATTTTAAACAGCAAAAGAAAAAGGAAAATATTTTCACACATGACAATCTTTCGAGAAGAAAATAAGGTCCTTGAAATTGACAATACCTACTCTATCTTAAAAGCCTAGAATAAAGAAGTGAGTCAAGGAGAAAAAGGCAAGAGCAAGAAGAAGAAGCGACGCAAAAGCAAGAAAACATCCTCTAGTTTTATAAATAATGAAGTCTGAGAGTACGAAAGATTTGAGAAAAAAACTTCACATGTTTTTGTAACAAACTCAAAGCAACTACATCGATAAAGAAATCGAACTTAAAAATAGATGTGGCATCAAGACCATAGACCTGAATGCAACGAGAATACAAGGCAAGTATTCATCAAAAAGGCAAACACTTCTTTTGGAGCTTTGAATAAAGATACAAGAATAGAAGATGGAAAATACATGATTGTATGCAAGATGACAAGATTGTTCTTTGAAAAATACAAGCTTGAATTGACTAGCTACCACGTTGAAACTAGGGCAGGTTCCTAAATAATTAATAGAGGAAGACTGAGGTCTCCTCTTCAAATATCGAAGAAGATTGAAGATCGACACTTTTACATACATGAAAACATCAGTTTCATGAAACAAGTGCATTTTATTGATAGCAAGAACATTGTATTCATACATAGATGCACATTTTTTTATAGATCTTTAAAAGAAAAAAAAATTGTGATGGCGAGATCTGAGAAGAGAGCCAAAAGTTAAACCTCAAAAGGCAGGAAATCATATTCAGATGGAGATGAACTTCAAAGATGATGGAGCCCAATCGATAGATGAGTCATATTTTTGATGAAGGGCCATGATATCCAACAAGAATGAGAAAATAATTTTAGAAGATTTCTCGATTGATAAGTCCATTAGGCCATTACTAATTCTTCGAGCATGATGATTAAGATTTCTGGATTATCTATAAGACCTTTGGACATGATGTCTTCAATAATTTTAGAAAATATAAAAAATGATTTTTTAGGATTTTTAAAAGATTTTATCAAATGAAAAGAGAAATTAATTTTTGAGGATTTCTCAAACATTTACAGAGAAAAGAGAAATTAATTTTCAAACAATTTCTCGTTTGGTAAGTCATGCAGGCTATTAGCATGTCTTTCAAGTATGATGCCAAGACCTTCTGGTCATTAGTAAGTCTTTCGAGTATGATGATTAAGACTTTAGGGTATGATCTTAAAACGAAAAAAGACAACTAGATATCTTCAACATGAAGGAGAAATATTTTCGTTAAATTTGACGTTCTCTATAGTAAACAAAAAAAATCATCCAAACATGAATGACATAGTTAATATGAAGGAACAATATCGTTAACAAACTTGACATCCTCAAAATAAGGAGAGAATCATTGAAATACAGTTAGATGCCCTCATCATGAAAAATAGTGTCATTTTCATATTTGGTTTCCTTAAAAGATAGATTCAATCACATAGAAAAATGAAAAAATAAATCCTCAAATGTGCTAACCAATGGTAATCATGAGTTTTTAGGTCCAATTGATAGGGGTCAGGACAGGCTAAGTGAGAAGAACTTCAGTCTTATCTCTCTGAAAATACAGAGTGATGGAGGAATGTATCAATGAAGGGTTGAAGAAGGATTACAGTGTGATTGAACAAAATTGGCCATTATTTATCTTTGCTTAATTTTCTTCCTCAAAAGAAGATGTGTCACCATTTGATTGGTTATGATTAATATATTTTTTATTTTTTAATGACGTGGCAACTTGTCACATCAACACTTTTAAATTACATAGACATGTCACATCAGCATCTTTATCCACATAACTCTACTTAGTCATCAATATGCATAGACCTTTAGTCAATTAACGATTTCCATCTACATAGGGGTTCTTTTGACCCAAAATGAAACTTTAGGGGGTTATTGTGCTCCAAAGAAAGAGAATATTAGCCAAAATGACTATTTTGTCAAACTTTTGGGATTTTTTTAATATTTATGCCTTAAATTTAGTATAACCCAAGTATCATAATAAAAGAACACGGTACGTGAGTCAATGAACTTAAAACTATAGAGAGAACAAAACCTTAACCAACATATATTGTATTACAAGTCAAATGACCCTAAGAGCATAATTACCCTATGAGCATAAAAGTCATATGCATCGAAGTGTTAATATTGTAGCTTTTAGACTCATGACATGCCAATTATAGTTGTGACTCTAAAAAAATACTTAAACATTACATATATATTATTTAGTACCTATGAAAATATCATAAATATCCATTCATTCACATATCATCAGTAATCATACCTAATTATAAACATCAACAATTCATATGCATCTAAGAAAAAATAAATCGTAACTTATCATACTTCAATTTAGTAATGACATTAAGGTAGACTTATAACAATCTTTCATAATCAAAGACACATATATCAAGAATGCATGTAACCACTCACCTTGACTACACCTTACCAACCGAATTGTAGTATGAGTTCTAGCTTCAACCTTGATTCTTTCCTTTTTTTCCGGAGCTTCCTTCAACTTGAGATTGCTTGAATGCTTCACATTCATCAATGACATAATAAATACAACAAAATTCTCAAGTTAGAATACTACTAACCATCTCCATGAACCATATATGTATATATATATATATATATATATATATATATATATATATATATTGAAAATTTAATGAGTGTTAATTTGAAGTATACAAGCTTCATACATTTCAAATTAACCTTCAATTTCATGATTCCACTAAAATCCTAATTTGTATCTCATAGAGTTTTATGGGCTAAATTAGGGGTTTCACACATCAACTCCAAATATAATAATTTTACCATCAAAATGTAGCGGAGGTGGTGAAAAACAACTTAAATACTTCAATTTCATTCAAACCCTAAATCCTTAGTGGAATTCCTAAATTATTGAATTGTATAGGTTCCACTACAACAAAACAGGTTTGTAGCGGCATTTTTAAACAAATGCCACAATAGATCAGTGCATTAGTGGTGTTTTTAAATACAAACACTACAAAATGATAACATTAGTGATGTTTTGTTGCGTGTATTGATGTACTATAAATTGATACACAAACGGTGCAGGTAAACACATCGAACAAGAAATAAAGTGATGAGTGAGTATCATCTCTACAGGGATTGGAGGTATTTCGAGTATAGATTAAGCACACAAAATATAAAAAAAGGTATTGTATGTGAAGTGTGATATGAAAAAAGTAAATAAATGCCATGAAAAAAGATTGTTGAGAACTGGTTTATGAGATAAGATGACGAAATGAATGTCACACGTGCGAAAAAACTCAAGTAAGACAAATGGTTGGGTCTACAATGGAATCTCATATATTGTCTTCATGGATGTCTAACATCTTCCCTAAATAACATGCTTGATAGAGTATTTGAAGGTGTTCTACACTATCTATATCAAGAATTTGACAATGAAAATGCTATAATACCTCTCAGCGTGAACCCTGGCAGTTTACCATCCACGAAGCTCTACTCTTTTTAGTCG